TGAGACAGCAGAATAGAGAGTTTGAGGTTAGCCTGGGCATCACCGAAAATTCAAGGCCAAACTGGTTGAGCTACATAGGAAGATCCTGTCTCAGGAAATCAAGGATTGACAGCAGAGTGAGATGGCTCATACTTACTATCACAGAAGTTGGGAGGCTGAGGAAGGAGAATTGCAGAGGGTTTCAAGGCAGTTTGGATTATAGGGTGAAATGCTATCTCACAAAACAACAAACAAACCACCCAAGAGCTTAGCATGTAGCTCAGTGGTATAGTGTATCATATACCATTCCCTAGGTTTGATCTCTAGTACTGCAAAATCTGATAATACTTTCAATTGATCAGGGCAGGCTGAGGAATACCTAGTTATTTTTCTTCTGTTACGTCTTAGAAAGTTGAAAGTTTTGGTCTTGGGAGATGGTTCAGCTGTTAATAGAACTGGCTGCTCTTTCAGAGAACCTGGGATCAATCCCCAACAACCACATGGCAGCTCACACCTGTCTATAACTCCAGTTCTAGCAGATCTTACATCCTCACACAGACATACAGACAGGCAAAATGCCAATGCACATAAAATAAATAAATCTGTAAAAAAAGGGAAGTTGAAAGATTCTATGTGGCCACTTTTGTACTTGGAAGAGGTAATGGTGACATTTTCACAATGAAAGGAAGATGGTGGAAAACTTGGAACATTATAGAGTAATTATAAATTCCTAGACATAGCAGTTTGAGGGTCATGTTTACTAAAAAGGGTTTTGTTGGTTCAAATAAACTGATGAAAGAATGGCAAGTCAGCCATGTTGGGGTGTAAGAGGTAGAAGTAATTTTAAAAATATATGCAGGAATACTCAGTAGGTACTCTGCTATAGTAATTGAAAGGAAATTGAAGCCTTTAATTTTTATTTAGTACAAATAATGTCAACAAGTTCAATCAAGCACATTAGTGTGGAACCCCTGCTTCAGAGCCACTAGCTCTCAATTGCTCAGTTTTGTCTGCAGGAGATCACCTAACGCCCTTTTAGTATTAGTCTTTACAGTTTTAAAATGGAGAAAATATTAGTATACCTACCTTATGGGGCATAAAAGTGCCTGCACAGTGCCTGCTGCAAAAGAGAAGTTAACAGTTTCAGAGGTTTAGTCCATTGTCATCATGGTGAGACATGGCAGTGTACAGGCAGAAAAGATGCTAGAGGAGCTGAGAGTTCTACATCTTGATCTGCAGGCAACAGAAAGTGAACTAGCTCAGTGGGCATGGCTTGAGCATATATGAGATCTCAAAGCTTGCCTCCACAGTCACACACTTCCTGCAATAAGGTCACACTTACTCCAACAAGGCCACACCTCCTAATAGTGCCATTCTCTATGAGCTTATGGGGACAATTACATTCAAACTACCACACCTGGAGAATGTGACTAATGTCATCTACAAATTCAGCCATGCAGATTTTCTTTTAGCAGAGAACCAAGATTCAAAATTCCATATTTTAGTGATGATATCATTTTATTCTGGGGTTCAGAAGGTTTGTTACTATTTCCTGTCAGTTTAAATATTTCACTAATTACTATAGTCTTGAAGAATGAATTAAAAAAATTTCCTCTAGACACAGGAGTGTAGAAATCATAAAAAATAAAGATCTAAGTGGTAATGTTGTGATTAGATATACATACAGCAGGCTATTCACATAATTGATTCTCTTATCTTACAAAGAAGGTTAATCAAATGCCCTGTTTGATAAAGAGAGGGGAAAAGCAGTCCTTATTGTTTGTGCTTCTTTAAAATGTTTTCCTGGCATTATCGGTTGGTTTGACTCAAATATGACCTTATCCTGCAGGCAGCAAGCCAAATCTTTATAGGCTAATCTGAGAAATGAGTGTGTGTGTGTGTGTGTGTGTGTGTGTGTGTGTGTGTGTGTGTGTGCCTGGTGTTACACTTATATGGTCATTTTGAGTACCAAACTCTACAGTATTAGCTAAACTAGATATCTCTTAATCCTTGCAAAATCTAGATGTACTTATTATTATTTATTTATTATCATATTACTTTCAAATTCCAGGTCAATAAAGCTAAGATGATGTTTAGATATAGAAATTTCAAAACAGGCCACGTGTTCTAACATAAACCCATAATCCTACCATATGGGAAGTAGAGGTAGAGGATCAGTGGTTAAAGATCAACCTAGGTTAAATGAGACCATGCCCCCCATCAAAAAAAAACCCAGAAAAATAAAACCCAAGCAACAAAATGGAAATTCAAGGTAGTATGCAATTTAATTTAAAAAGATAACAATCTGAATAAAATGAGAAAAATTTAAAGTCAGGTTTACAAATTTTTGTTCTTTGACAATTTTGTACATGTGTATAATTCTGATTATTCTTGCCCAACCTCTTTTACTTCCTTCCCATTCTTGTCAGTCTCTTTTCCTACAGATCTCTTTCCCACATTCACAGCTTTTTGTTTTGTTTTGTGACCCTCTGAGTTTAACCAGAACTGACTGTGTGACCCTAGGTTTGGAACTAACCATTGGAGCCTGGTGAGCTCCCCAGTAGATACACAGTTGATGACATAATCCTCTGTAGCCAGTAGTTCAGCAGTAAGGCAGAGGACTTACAAACCTCTCCACATATATGGCTAACTGTCGACAGGGCCAGTGTTTTGCAGGCCAGGTACTATGAACCATAGCTGTGGTGAACATATATATGATTGCAGTGACTGCGTCATGTCTAGATACGTATGTTACCTTTAAAAGTTTGGATGTTTTCAGAGCAAGGAGACCAGACACTAAGGAAAACAGGTGACCCAGCTAATCTAGCCTCTCAGAGTGTTTCTGTTGAAGTTTCCTCAGAGATGGTCCAACCTTACAGACTATTCTAGCTAAGACTGCAAATAAGCCTTGTGTTTTTCTATGCACAGAGACTGGACAACACATATTACCATCACCTTGCCCAGGACATGAACATTATCCTAATTGTCTCAGGGTCTCCTAAAGATGCCAGCACCCCCAGACAACAGGAGGCAGTCTAGAGAACATGATACCCACATTCTCAAGAAGTGGGGTAGATAGCTTTTGGTCATTCAATGAGTTATAGATGTTCGTCATTGTTTAGGGTGTAGGAGAAACTGTGGCCAGAATACCCGAGCTGCAATTGCCCTGCCCTCAGTGCCCAGGCCAGCCTGCATGCACATGTATGGCAGGCATGTCCTCAGGGAGGACATGTCCTCAGGGAGGACATGCCTCAATGCCCAGAGACTGCTGACACCAATGAGGAAAAGACATGCAGCAGAGTCAGCAGCCTGTGCCAATAGGACCTTGGGAGGGGATATAAAGCAGGTCTAACTTCCTTAATAAATGAGTCTGATGCATGCTCTGCTACTCACTGACTCCCAGTGCCCGAGTCATTGGTGTTGCATCTTCTCACCCCTTCCCCCAAGGGGTGTCCAAGTAGGGTAATCTGCAACATAGGAGGGTTGGTTACAAGTTGTTATTGGTGATGGTCAGGAAAAAGCTAAACCAAATTGTTAGATTCAGGGATCTCTTTCTGAAGGAAAAAAAGGGGGATATAATATAGAAATGAGATAACAGTGTGGATTGTTGAGTCTACTTTTGAACTGGTCTCAAATATTTTACATTGGTATGGAATTTTATATATTGATACAAATTTAAGGTTTTTTGTTATATTGTATATATGTTTCTATTCTTGTTTAAGTTGTTGTACCTATACATTACATATACAAATGTAAAGTTTTAGTCCTTTCAAATAGCTTTCAAGCTATTTAAGATAATAAAGAAATACAGGTTAATAGCTAATCATCTATAACAATCAAACTTATATTCAGGTATGTTTTCAAGGTCATTTAGAGATATATTTAATCTTCAAATATTTCAAAGACCTACAGAATATGGCATTTAAAATGTTATTAAACATAAGGCTTTTCATAAATGAGACACATCTGTTCCTGGCAGCACCATTTTACTTCAAAAAAGGATGGTGGGCATCAAAGAATCTCCATGTGGAGTTTGATTTCTTTATGGCAGAAGCTAGACATTTGGACAAAGGGCTGCCCTTACCTTAACTGTTGACAATATGGTGTCCAAACTGGACAAGCAGCACACAAAAGAAAGGGACTGAAAAACTTTGCCAAGACAAGGTAGGACAGTCCTTCAAAGTTCCTGCTTTATAGAAAAGTCTGTCAGATATTCTAGGCCTGTAGACTGAAGGTTGATGTCCCAACATTGCAGAGGAACCTTGGGTGACTGTACAGGCATCCAGATGTCCTGTCATTTCTGTAGTTTTGGAAGTTGATTTCTTTGCATTTCCTGTTTACTTAAGTAATATTTTATCCTTATTAGGTCTCTGATGTGGATTGAAGACTAGATATAATTTTACAGTTTTCCTTGTTACCAAATTTGGAAAAGAAACTTACATAAGAGATGTAAAGTTTATAAGGTTGAGAAACATAAAAGCTCAAGTTGTTTATCTAAAAAGATGTTTTAAGGTCTAAAACAATATTTTTAGAATGGCAATACAAGTTATGACAAAAATGATTTAGTTATAAAACTTTGGACTAAGATAGGGGAGATAATGTACCATTTTCTCTAAATTCAATTTGCCAAATACAAATAGATTGGAAACTGTGAATGTAATTCTTACCTGATAATTGTTCTTAGTGTATATAGTTTCCCTGTGTTAGAGTTAAACCATTTCTTTTTATTTATACAAAAGGGGGAAATATTGTGGAATATTCCTTTACAAAGTGTGAAGATGTGTCACTGTGATTTGTTCAATAAAAAGCTAAATGGCCAATAGCTATGCAGGAGTTATAGCCGGGACTTCTGGCCAGAGTGATCACTGGAAAGAAGAAAAGTAGAGTCACCAGCCAATTGTAGAAGAAGTGCAGAATAAAGGTAACCAACCACATAAAAGAACATAGATTAAAAGATATGGGTTAATTTAAGTTATAAGAACTAGTTAGGAACAAACCTAACATAAGGCAGAACTTTCATAATTAATAATAAGTCTCTGTGTTGGTTTTTTTTTGTGAGCTGGTAGCCCAAAGAAAAATCTGTTTATACCAGTGGAAACTCCTACTAACACAGGACACAGAGCGGAACCAACTGTTTTCTGAAACCAGACAAGGCTTCCAGTGGGGACTGGGACATCAAACCAGGTACAAAACTTTCATCTTAACAATTTGTCCTGCCTACAAGATGTGCTGGGAAATTGGTGGTGCAGAACATGTGGGACTGGATAACAAATGACTGGTCAGGGTTCAGGCCCACACCAGGAGAGGGAGACCATGTCTGACACTACCTGGATGATCTGGAACCAGAGGTTGGATAGCCTAGGGACCTAAGATGGAACCAAACATGACTGGGGAAAAAGTCAATGAAATAATTCCTAATGATATTCTGCTATACTCATAGATCAGTACCTTGTTCGTTTCTCATCAGACAGGCTTCCTCTGGCATCTGTTCGGAGTAGATGCAGAGACCCACAGCCAAACATGGGGTAACCCCATGGAAGAAGGATTGTAGGAGCCAGAAGCATGGATGGCACCATAAGAAAACCCACAGAACCAATTAAACAGAGCTCACAGAGACTGAAGGGAGCCTGCATGGGTCTGTACTAGGTCCTCTGCATACACGCTATTGTTCTTTAGTTTGTGGTTTTTGTGGGACTCCTAACAATGGGAGTAGGGGTATCTATCTCTGATTCTTTTATGTGCCCTTGGGACTCCTTTCCTCCTCCTGCATTGCCTTATCCAGCCATGATATGAGTCTTATTGTGACTTGTTACGCTGTGTTCATTTGCTATCACTGGCAGGCCTGTTCTTTTCTGAAGGGAAACAGAGGAGGAGTGAATCTTGGGGAGATAGGAGGTCGAGGAGGGTCTGGGAGGAGTGGATGGAGGGGAGACTGTGGTCAGAATGTAATGTATGAAAGAAGAATAAAAAATTGTGGTACCTGAGAGAAAATTGAAACTGACTCAGACTTGCTAAGAAACCTTTTGAATTTGTAGAGGGCTCTAAAAATACTGTGTTTTACCAAAATGCTACTTTCTATTTCTTTGTGGTCCCTGGAGGCTGTGATTTCTCTTGATGGTATGCCTATGGGATTATCTGTTGCATCCTGGCTGTCATCACTGAAAACAATATCCATCAGGACAATTTCCTTGCAGTCAGGGTTTTTTGGTCATCTAATAGAAACGTGCTTTATGTATGAGTCTTCATGGAACACATACATATTCCAAATTTGTAATTTAATAACTGTATTAGTGTCTTAACTTTGCTCTAACAGATTACCATAAAGTTAGTGCAATCCAATAACAATTTAATTTTTACAGTTCTGTAGGTCAGACTTGCAGAGTCAATTTCACTGAGATAAAGTAAAAAAGTCAGCAAGATTTCATTCTTTCCAGAGATTTTAGAAAGTCTCTTTCCTTGCTTCTTTCAAATTCCTGTAGTCCTGTAGTCCCTACCTCAAGGTCTCTTCCTTGTACCATCCTAATCTTTCCCCTTCACTCTAATCTTGTTTCTGCTATCATAGCTCCTGCCTTCTTGATGACTTCTTCTTCTCCTCCTCTCCTTCCTCCTCCAACTTTCCTGTTTTTTTCAGAGACAGGGTTTCTCTGTGTAACAGCCCTGGCTGTCCAGGAACTAACTCTCTAGACCAGGCTGACTTCAAACTCAGAGATAGCCCCCTGCCTCTGCCTTCTGAGTGCTGGGATTAAAGGCATGCACCACCACTACCTGGAGAAATTTCTTCTTATTAAGACCCTGTGATATTACATTTAGGGCCCACTCAGACAGTTAAATTACATCTGTAAGGGTCATTTTGCTATATTAGGCCACATTTACAGGTTCTAGGGAATAGAGGTGGACATCTTTGGGGGTTGTTATTTTGTATACATATCACATTGACCTTTTAAAATTTTAGTCTAGCAAGGTTAGAGTATAGTGGGACAAAAGATGTATTAATAGTGTGTGTGAGGTTGAGTGAGGAAAAAAGGAGGTAATAAGGGAAAGGCTGCCAGAGAATATATAAGAATTTGTAGAGATTCTGAGTCCCCAATGGGGAGGGAATAAAGATATGGTGTTATAAGATTCTTTTATTATTTATTTGAGAATTTCATGCATGAATACACTGTATTTACCTAGTTTTCACCTCTCCCTCTGTGTTGTAAGATTCTTATACACAAAGCATTATATTATTGAATACAGACTATGAATTAGAGTCATATTATAATTCCCTAAAGCAATTATTAGAGTTATAAAACAGTTTTTGCTGAATAAGAGAGATAGAACTCAGCCCACAAGAAGACAACAATAAAGAAAAGGGCTCAAAAAGAGAGAGCAAGGTGATAGACTTATATACAACTCTATTGGAGGTAAGGATAAATGCAAATCAAAATATGTTAGTTGAAAGACACATTGTCAGATTAGTTAGAAAAGTAAAACTCAGTAATGTCAGAAATCTGAAGATGGCACATCAATTATTTCTGAATTTTATTATTATTCTATCACTTTCTTTTAATGTGGTTATATATTCTACATATAACTTGAAGTGAACATATTAAATTTTGTATTTTATATTACATTTTGCTGACTAGGTAGAATGTAGGTATGTACCCTTTATCATAATATTGTGAAATCTTACTTTAAAATACAATAATTATTCAGAAATCTAAAATAGATGAAGAAATAAATATACAGGAAATAAAAATATTAAGAGTGTTAACTCAATAGCCTTCATAAATCATTTTTTCTTTTTTAAGTCTAGAAATATTAAAAATATGAATAAATATGTAAGGCAAAACTCAGGACTCTTGTTTAACAGCATTCATGTTCTAGTATGTCATGAAAAGTACAAAGAATGTGATGTTGGGTAAATACTGTTTAAAGGGGAAATATTAACTACATGAAAATATATCCTTCTACCAGCCTTGACTGAAAGTCAGCAATGATGGGCTATTCTAAATTAATTGTTCTATAGTATAATGGCAACTTTAAAGTTTTGACTACTGGGCTGGCTCAGCAGGTAAGGGTGCTTGTTGCCAAGCCTAATGACCTAAATTCTATTCCACCCATATGGTGAAACAAGAGAACTGATTCCTGTGACAGACAGACAGACAGACAGACAGACAGATAGACAGACAGACAGACACACACTAAAACAACTTGACTGTTACAATTTCTTTTAAAAGAAAACTGTGGAAATGATGTGACAGACTTTGATGATCTCACCCTCCTTGGGGAGTGGATGGGGGTGGGATGGGGAGTTGATAGGTGTTTTTGATTTAAATAAAAATTTATTTTTTATAAAAGCTTCGAATATAGTTAAAGTTGGACTAAAGTCTTGGGTAGTCATTGTATCCTAGTTCATTCAGTTTTAGACAAATATCAATGGTAATATTCAGATATTTAATATTCATCTAAATGCATTGTGTGTATATATGCATATCTTATTTTATAAACAAAAAGTTATAATATGAAAAGTAGTCTAAGTCCTCAATATTTTTATATAGTGATTTTTATGTAATTACATGAAATTAAATAATTAAACTCATAGAATCGTCAGTTATATCTGCAAAGTTCTTTTGGCTAAATAAGATTACACTTGCAGGTTTGGGGTATGTGGTAATTTGAAAGAACATGGCCTCCAAAGGTAAGTAGCACTGTTACGAGGTATGGCCTTGTTGGAATAGGTATGATCTTGTTGGAAGAAGAGTGTCACTGTGGGAGTGGACCTTGAGGTCTCATATATGCTCAAGCCACACCCAGTATCTCAAACTACTTCCTGTTCCCTGTAGATCAAGATCTATTAACTCTCAGCTCCTTCTCTAGCATCATGTGTAATTGCATGCTGCAATACTCCCTGCCATGATTATAATGGGCTAAACCTCTGAACCGTAAGCCACCCCAATGAAATATTTTCCTTTATAAGAGTTGCTGTGATCATGGTGTCTGTTCACAGCAATAGAAACCCTAACTAAGACAGGGTATTAGTATTTGCATATATTTATGGATCATTAATAATGTACCATATTAGGTTCAAATTCCTTTTTTATTGGCCACTCAGTTGTTTTGCAGATTTCTGAGTGATTTGTAAATGTGCTGAATGTTTTGTACAATATACCTTTGACTTAATTTCTGAGAATTTTCTTCTCCAGAAGCCTTGTACTAATTTCTACTCCCACATCTAATATATGAGTGTTATTGTCTTAAAACATGGCAAACTGAAACTATTAATAATTTTGCAATCTCTGACAATTTGATAGGCACAATGGGTATCACATTACTAATTTATTTGTCAGTCTCTTTTTTTTCTTTTGTGAAATTTCAATTTATCTTCTTTTACTGATGTCTAGTTGGTGTTAGTTTTTTTCATGCTTTTTTACAAGAGTTCTCTGTTTATATAGTAAGGATATTAATAATAATTAGGATTAAATTTGTTAAAAATGAGAAGTGTTGAGTTGGAAATGCCTTCCATATTCTCACGTGCTTGCTACTTTCATAGGCTTGCATGGAGTGGGTGGAGAGAGAATGTGAGAATGTTTACTAGTAACATTATTGGTGAGGAGTATGTTAGAATGAGTGGAAAGTTAGTGTGTCCTCGACACAATTCCAGACTGTTTTTTTTTCCTAAAATAATTCTGTCTATATGCTTTCTTTCTGCTCAGAATCTCCCCATTTGTCTTTGTCAGTCATCCATCCACCCAGTACAATTTCATCAGCTAGGAATTTAGATGCCTTAATATTTGGGTTCCCAGTATTGTTTTCAAAATGGGACCCCTGGAGCCAGTAACATGGATCAGTAGGTACAGGCACTTGCTGCCAAGCACAATGACCCGAGTTTGATCTTGGGGACTTAGATAGTAGACATGGAGAACCACTACTAGCAGGTTGTCCCCTGATCTTCATATGCACATGTACATATAGACAATAAATAATTAAATATAATAAAAATAAATTTTGAAAATGTGCTCATCTTACCCCAACCTAATTCAACTTCATTTAGACTACTTAAATATTGAGGACATAGAGATAATGAAGTCTCTATCTTCCACACGTTCCACAGACGAAGGAAAATCTGGACTCTGGATGAATCAAAGGCCTTACTTTATCATGCGCTCAAATCTGGAGTGAAACTCTTGATATAGAGGCATTCAACAGGCATCCCTGGGGAATAAGGACAGATGACCTGGTTAGAAGAAAGTGCCAGAAAAGACCTCTTTCTTACAAGAAAAGAGGGTGGCTACAATGCATTTTGACAGGACAGTTTTCTATCAAAGACAAATCATGGAGGAAGACTATTTTAAGAAGATGGAAGATGAGGTAAACTTACTTTAGGTCTAGTGAAAGTATGTGAGAGGAACAGTCCAAGATGAACTGGGCAGGGTACAGATAGCTCATTGCATCAGGAAGCTTATGTATTAACTTTTAGAGTATTGAAGGCCAGGCATGATGACACAGTTCTTTAATCGCAGCACTCAGGAGGCAAAGGCAGAGTCTACAGAGAGAGTTCCAGGCCAGCCAGGACCATACAGAGAAACCCTATCTCAGCATCCCCCCAATTAATTAATTAACAAATAGAGGAATGGAGAGTAAGTTAAGTGTGTATTAACAAGGACTGATCTTATCAGAACAATACTTTAGAAAAACCACCTTGACTGCACCCTACAGAATGATTTAGAAGTGGGGAGCATTTAGAGTGACTTTAAGTCCCTGTGGCCTGACACAGTTTTGATTTATACTTGATGCTCTATTATTCTGCCTAGTTTAACATTTGTCATAACCCCTCCCTCTCTCTCTCCTTATGTATCCCAGGCTGGTCTCAAACTCATTATGTAACTGAGGGTGAACTTGAACTTCTG